GTTGTGGGAAGAGACTGGACAAAAATCGTGCACCTATGGATGAGGACAGTGGAGAGGGGGTGAGGGCGGAGGATGGGAGGGGAACCAGGTGGAGGGGAGCTATGGGGGGGGAAAAAGAGGAACAACTGCAATAATCTGAACAATAAAGATTTAATTTAAAAAAAAAAAGAAAAAAACAAAGTAAACAAAACAAAGCTGGAGTTGCTTTTAATCTGCTATGTGATCCCTAACAAGTTACAATTTCCCTCACTCTTGACTTCTTCGTATATAGATTAAGGAGGTGGTATCCACAGATGTATCATCTAAGATTTGCATGAGCTTGAAAAATGCTAAGAAATCTCTACTGTATTGGGGTCTGAGAAGGGAGAGTTTGGCTCTGTGAATATTCTCAGAATAAGAACGTAATCTGAATAGGAAATATTAGTATCCATGTCAGTTTTAAAAATGATTTTTAAATTAAATAATTAAAATAAATATGAGAGAAAATCTCTCCCAACTCTTCTAGATTAATTAATCCAATCAACAAATATGTAATGAGTGTCTACCATGTACAAGGGTTAATTTTTGAATCAGGGAATATAGTGTCAAATATGATAGACAAAATCCCTACTTTCAGAAGGGTAATATTCTAGTCATGAAAGAGAAAGAGACTATAAAACAAGTATGCAAGAAATGAGCAAGACAGCTTCAGCGCTCTCTCCCTCTCAGGAGCATGCGGCACCTTTCCTCGCCCCTCCTTTTTCAAACCCTTCTCTCTCCTATGCTCCAAGGGCCCTTTGTTTGCCTCTGTAACTTGTTTCTTGAACCCATTTCTTCTACAATTCACTTCTTCTATCTCTGTGACTTTCTAAATAAACTTTCTCTTATAAAAATAAGTTCAGACAGTGACTAAGAAAATGAAGAAGTGGTATGTGAATTGTCTGAACGATTTAGTTCATTTGGGCTGGGGAGTCCTCTCTGAAGAGAGAATACTGCGATGAGAAGGATCCAGGCGTTGTGAAAGCCACGGAAGGACTTTCATGGCCAGGAAACAGCTATGTGGAGGCCCTAACAGGGAAGGGACTTCAGAGAAAGCTTAGTCAGTGAAAGGAAGAGTGGTGAAAGGTAGACAGGGGATACCGGTAGGTTACAGCAAAGAATTGCTAGGAAGCCATAGGAGAAGAGATGGGTGGGTGATTAAGCAGCAAAACACGCTGGTTAAGAAAATTCAAAAAGTAAAGGAAAAGGTTATAATGAAAAGTAAAAGGTACCTCCCTCTCCTCATGCTATACTTTTGAGTGTATTCTTTTAAAAATACCATATACAACATCACCTAGAATCTAGGTCCTAGATGTACTCTAACCAAATCATCAAGACCTAAGTACAACTACGAGTTTACAAGAAATACAGGAGAGAAAGGAATAAACTAAATAATGTAACAACAACAAAAAATCCAGAAGGTTAGGCATTTTATAGGAAAACTAGCGTGATAGACTTAGCAGTCAGGGTCACAAAAACAGGGAGTAAACTAGGTTAAAATAAACTGACATTACTGGTACATCCTCTTGTTTATGTTTGGCATCTACAGTGTCTGCACATAGGAATCATTTAAGTGCCTTCTGAGTCAATTAACTGAATCTGCAGGCTCCTACATTACATAATTTACTTGCCCCCCCAAAACCACAACACATCACTTAAAGAGACATCTAAACAACTAAAGGAAGCACCAGGCATAAAGACTTATTTCGTCAACTGCAGACATGACTATTCATTGTTCTACATAGGCATGTCTCAAATTAATAATGCAAGTAACTCAATGGATGGGCTTGCTGTTGGAGATACAATCCTGTTGCCTCTAGCTTCAAATAAAACCCAAATTTGGCCATTCTTCCACTACCGAATCCACCACCACCATGCCTTAGGTAGACAATAAGTAGGGCAGCAACATTCCCTACTTCTCCTCTTAAACTCCTACACTCTACTTTCCAAACATCTGTTAGAACCGTCCCTTTAAAACATAAATCACGTCATGGCCCTGCCCTGCTCGAACTTGCAGTATGTCCCCTGCACTTTAAAGTCCCCACCATGGTTTGTGGTAACCCCCCAACCTCATTTGCCTTCTGTCGCCTATCCTTTTCCTCACTCCTCTTCAGGACAAGGGTCCTGGCGTAAAGCCTTAATATTAAGCATAGAAACAGCACAAACCTTTTGATTTCTTTACATCAGGTTCAGGCTCAGATTCTCGGATGAACTGCCCCACATCACTGACTCTTCCAAATGTCATCTTCCTATGGGAGTATGAGAAGAATATAATTTCTAACAATTAACTTTAAATTAAAAAGAAAAAATCAATTTTAAGTATCTCATGTTATTCCAAGTGAGGCTTATTTTAAATAGAAAGCAAAATAAACTTTAATTCAATGCAATTTTATTCAAAATCCTAAAAAGGTTTATGAAACATGCCGAGTTAACAGTTAATTCACATTTCTAAAATTCAAAGAGAAGAGAAATGGCACAAGAATAGCCAAGGTAACTTTGTAAAAGAAGAGATAAAAAGGTAGGACAAAATGTCTTATAAATTACTAGTATATTACTATGCTATAAAACTATAGTAAAAAAGCAAAATTAAAAGGCAAAGCACACAGTAAAAGGTCTTATTTTTAAGAGATTACTACTAACCCATCTATATATATAAAGAGTTACGGCCCGTTGCCTCCGAAACAACCAAACAGAGGACTGAACAGGCTGCGTGGGGCGACCTGGACGGCAGGGGGGTTACTGAGGAACGACCAAATGACTGAACATCAGGCTGTGTGGGGTGGCCAGGCTGGCAGGGGGGCGAGTGAGGGACAACCAAATGAATGAACAGCAGCCTGTATGGGGTGACCAGGCTGGCAGTGGGGGCAGTGAAGGGCAACCAGGCCGGCAGAGGGGGCACTTGGGGGCAACCGGGCCAGCAGGGGGAGCAGTTAGGGGCAATCAGGTCAGCAGACAGAGGTGGTTAGGGGTGATCAGGCTGGCAGGGGGGCCAATTAGGGGCGACCAGGCAGGCAGGCAAGCAGTTAAAAGCCAGAGGTCCTGGATTGTGAGAGGGATGTCCAACTGCCTAAACCGGCAGTTGAACATCTCCCAAGGGGTTCCCGGATTGGAGAGGGTGCAGGCTGGGCTGAGGGGACCCCCCCACCATCCACAAATTTTGTGCACCAGGCCTCTAGTAATTAATATTCATAAACATACAGAATTCCAACAAGTCATTATGAAATCATCCAACAGCCCAGCTGGTGTGGCTCATGGTTGAGCATCGACTGAGGTTTGATTCCCGGTTGGGGCAGACTGTGGGCTAGATCCCCAGTAGGGGGCGTGCAGGAGGCAGATGATCAATGATTCTCTCTCATCACTGGTGTTTCTATCTTTCTCTCCCTCTCCCATCCTTTCTGAAATCAATAAAAATATATTTCAAAAAAATCACCCAACAGAAAAATGTGAAAATGAGATAAAGAGTCAATGCACAGAAGAAACACCCCAACAACCAACAAACACACCAAAAGGAGCTCCATCGCCCTGACCGGTTTGGCTCAGTGGATAGAGCGTCGGCCTGCGGACTAAAAGATCCCAGGTTCAGGGTTGGGGGGCAGGAGGTAGGGGGGTAAGAGAGAAAAAATCAATTAAAATATATTTTAAAAAAAAAAGAAGCTCTATCTCATGAGCAATAATACAAGATTGGTAAAAAAAAACTGTACTTTGATATTATTTAGCGTTGATGAAGATGTGGGGAAAATTAGTACCTTTATTAATGACTGATAAAAATGTAAAATGTACAGGTACTTTTCATGGTAAATTAGTAAGATCTATTAAAATTTCAAATCTGCTTTTTGTTACAAGAAAGTATATAAAAGGAAGTGCTTTGCTATATTGGGTATAAATGTGAAAAATAAAAACAACTGAAACAATATCAAAATGACCAAATAGTGGCACAACACATTATGTGGAATATTTTGTCACAGTTATAAGCTATAATTAAAATTACATATAGAAACTATGACACAGTTAAAATGAGGTAAATCTATAAAACTCACTATGAATGAAAGCACAAGATACATAGTGTAATATTAACTACATAAAAATAAGCAAACAAAAAAAATACACTATAACAATGAGTAGGAAGAAGAGAAAATAAGGATAGGTGTGTGATCAAAGAGACATTAGCCTTATCTACCAATTAATTTTTATAAGACACTAGAGGCCTGATGCATGAAATTCGTGCAAGAGTAGGCCTTCGCAGCCACGGCGGCTGCCTGAATCCCTCCCTTGCAGCCACGGCAGCTCCCTCGGTCCTGCAGCTTCATCCGGAAGGTCATCCAGTCTAATTAGCATATTATGCTTTTATTATTACAGATTAATATATGTGTACTTAAAAGTTAATTCAAAAAAGAAAAACAGATTTTATGATGTCTCTATATTATCTCCTTTCAGGCAAAGTGGATCTTATTTTAGAGACAGCCTCCCAATAAGTCATCACTTCATATATAAGCTTCACTATCCCAACTGCTATAATTTGTTTGCCTTGATAGAAATTTCAGGAAGCTGCTGAAATCATAAAATTAAAACAAACACTGGAAACTATCTTTAAAGATGGGAGAAAAATTATTTCTACTTATGACCATTTTATTAATTAGAAAAGAAAGAGAACTCATGGGCCCGGACAACAGTGAACAGTGTGGTGATTGCAGGGGTGGGAGGTGGAGGTGGAAGAGGGCATAGAGGGGATAAATGGTGATGGAAAAGAATGAAAGTTAAAAATAAAATAAAATTCACAAAAAATTATATTTTACACACAAAAACACCTATGAAAACAAAACATCTTGCAATTGATACTTTCTTAAGCAAGGTTTTAAACAAATGAGCCAACCATTCCTTAAGAATAAGTATCTTTGGAAATTAACTCATCTAGGCTTATTGTCCACCATTTCCTAAAAGAAGAAATAAAGATCACTACAATGCCGACACAACTGAGGTGTGCTTTCCAAAACCAATGTGATCCAAGGGCCTTTCACTTACCTCAAGGACCTTTTAGGCTCCTTCGTCTCCCAACTATCATTGTTACTTTCAGATAAAAACAATTAAACATGTTGAAATCCCTTTTGCATGGCACTGCTAGGCCTGGGGTGGGGTGGAGTAATGAAGCCTTTGCACAGGCTTATGTGTGAATCAAGCCATCTTTAGGGAAGAGGACTGACTTTATGATTTGATCGGTGGTAAAGTTTAATAAGTGGCATATCCTATGAATCACTATCTTTTTGTTGTAGAATGAAATAAACAACCAAGTTAATTCTAAAATACAAAGGAACAATTTTATTCCATTTTCTGAGTATTAGTTATACAGTCCATATAAATGAAATTGGCATCTTTGTACTGTATTTTTCTTTTTGCTTTTAAGACAGAAATTTTGAAATCGCTAACATATGAATCAAATGAAATATGGACGAGACAGCCCAAAACATACTACACAAACATCACACCTAATCAATATCGCCTACGGTGATGGAATCATGATGTAATATTTGTGGAGTGCTTACTGATACCAGGCCATGTACTAAATTCTTTTATGTGTGATCTCATTTAATGCCCTCAATAACCCAATGAAGTAGTAATATTATCCTCACTTTATAGATGAAGAACTGAAACACAAAAAGATGAAGTAGCTTGGCAATAAGTGGTTGGGACAAGACTAAAACCCAGGAAGTCATTCCTAAGCCTTCACTCTTACCATGTTCCACTGCATATTATATGTAAACGTTCCGGGCGCATAATAATAGATTAAAATAGTTTAGATTAAAATACAAAAAGATGCAAAATTTAATATACTTGATAAAATTCTAGACATGTGCCAAGCTTACCCTGCATATGTCCGTTGATATAAAGATTCTGGATCCAGACTTGCAGCATCCACAATTATTGCTTCATCAAAATTTTTCAGAATTTTAACACTAGCTTTTTTCATACTGGACTACAACAGAAATTGTAAAATTAGTGGTATATTATTTAGGAATCAAATCACTCCTGGGTTTGGAATATGACAGATTGGTACAAATCTTCAGTGTTTGAAATGTATGTAATTTTCATTCAACCCATCATTACTGTGATGAAACAGCAATGATTCTGAAATGTAACATCAATATATAACTACAGGGGGAGTGCAATATTAAAATGCACACCATATGCATTCACATGCCAAATGTTTTTCTTAAGTTCCCACAAATGCGCTGCCTTATAGCATTATGTTCCCATTGATGCAAAACTCCCATCCACCCATGCATATGCATCTTGACTAATACATGTGAAGCTCAACTTTTACAAGATAAGCCTGAATGCTTTTGATTCTCAGTGAGGCCATGTGACAAGAGAGAAGCTGAAGTTAACTTTCTAAATTAACCAGTTAAATAAGTGTAATAAGTTCCCCTCCACCATTCTATGTCCCCACTCCTAACTCTCACATAAAAAGCAAGTCAAAATGGATAGACCTATGAAATACAGAGCCATGGTTTGACCCAGAAATTCCACTTCTAAAAATTCAATTATGGATGCACATGCAAAATGACATATATACAAGATCATTCACTGCAGCATTGTTTAAAATAACAAAAGACAGAAACACGCCTAATATCCACAACTAAGGTGTAGGTTAAATTAATAAAATAAATAATTGAACAGATGCTTATAAACTTTCTTTGGGGGTGAAGGTGAGGAAAGAACTCTTTTTTTGTAGCCAAAAGGGCACAGAATTAAAAAGATAAGCGCCCCAGCCGGTTTGGCTTGGTGGATAGAGCGCTGGCCCTCTGATTGAAAGGGTCCTAGGTTCGATTCTAGTCAAGGGTCTATCCACTGAGCCAAACCAGTCAGGGCAAGGGCATGTACTTTAGCTGCAGGTTCCTCGGCCCTGGTCAGGGTGCGTGTAGGAGGCAACCAATCAGTGTGTCTCTCTCACATTGATGTTTCTGTCTCCCTCTTCCTAAAAAAATCAATGAAAAAATATCCTGGGATAAGGATTAACAGCAACAACAAAAAAATAAAATAAGAAAAGAGGCATCAGAATAAAGGAGAGGAATACTTCTATGAGGCCACTGTTACTCAGATTCCCAAACCAGACCAATCTCTGGAGTTTAGACCCAAAATCCTCAATAAAATAGTAGCAAACCAAATCCAGAAACATACAGAAATAATTACACACCACAACCAAGTGGGATTTATCCCAGGAATGCAAGCTTGGTTTAATAACTGGTAATCAATTAACGTTTCAAGAGTAAAAACCAAAAGCCTGCATAATCATCTCAGCTAATACAGAAAGAGCATTTGACAAAACCCAACATACTTTCCTTTTTTTTTCTTAATCTTCACCTGAGGCCTTAGCTGGGTTGGCTCAGTGGCTAGAGCACCGGTCTGCGGACTCTGAAGGGTCCGGGGTTCGATTCCACTCAAGGGCACATGCCCAGGTTGTGGGCTCAATCCCTAGTATGGGGCATAGAGGAGGCTACCGATCAATGATTCATATCATTGATGTTTCTATCTCACTTTCCCTCTCCTTTCCTCCCTGAAATCAAGAAAAAAACATTAAAAAAAAATCTTTACCTGGGGATATTTTTCCATTGATTTTTAGAGAGAGTGGAAGGGAGGGGGCAATGTGAGAGAGACACATCGACTGGTTGCCTCCTGCACACACCCCAAACAAGGCCGGGACGGAACCTGCAACCAAGTTATGAGTCTTTGACAGAAATTAAACCTGGTCCCTTCAGTCTGTGGGCCAACACGCTATCCACTGGGTCAAACTGTCTAGGGCTCAACATACTTCCTTGATAAAAGAACATTCAACAAATTAGGAATAGTAGAGTACTTCCTCAACTTCATAAAGAGCATTTATTTATGAAAAACCCACTCTGAACATCTTACTATATGATAAAAAACTGAAAGCTTTCCTCCTGGAAGTTCCAGCCAGAGCAATTAGGCAAGAAAAGGAAATAATAGGCACCCAAAGTGTATAGAAAGAAAACTTTCTATTCACAAATGATGTGATCTTATATACAGAAAATCCTAAGTAATTCACAAGAAAACTATTAGAGCTAACATGAATTTAGTAAAGTTGAAGGTAGATGACACACAAAAAGCAGTTATAGTGCTACGTATTATCAATGATGAATCAAAAAATGAGATTAGCCTAGCTGGTGGGCACAGTGGTTAGAGCACTGGCCTGAACACCGAAGGGTTGAGGGTTTGTATCCTAGTTCAGGGCATGTACCAGGATTTCAGGTTTGATCCCCAGCCCCACAGTTGGGGTACAGGCAGAAGGCAATCAATCTATGTGTCTCTCTGACATTAATGTCTTTCTCCCTCCCTCCCTTTCACTCTCTCTAACAAGCAATGAAAAAAATTCCTCAGGTCAGGATTAAAAAAAGAAAAAAAAAGAAGTAGTACAAAATGGCAGTCACAAAATAGTCATGGGAATGTAAAGTACAGCATAGGGAATACAGTCGATAATACTGCAATAACTCTGTACAGTGCTAGGTGGGCACTTGAAATATCAGGGAGATCACTTTGTAAAGTATATGATTGTCTAAACCACTCCGCTGTACACCTGAAACTAATATAAAATAATACTGATGTAAACTGTACTTGAAACATTAAATAAAAACCAACCCTATCTGTAATAGCATCAAAAAGAAAAAAATTCTTAGGAATAAACTGATCGAAGAAGGTATACAACTTATACACTGAAAACTATAAATGTTGCTGAAAGGAATTAAGGACAGCCTAAATTAGACAGAATGTCATTCCATATTCATGGACTGGAAGACTTACAATTGTTGAGATGACAATACTCCCAAAGCAATCTACAGATTCAGTGTAATCCTGATCAAAATGGAAAAGCTGATTCCAAAATTTACATTTGAAATTGCAAGGAGCTCAGAAAAACCAAAACAATTTTACAAATGATAAAAATGAAGTTGAAGGACAAATACTTCCCGATTTCAAAACTTACAAAGCCATTGTAATCAAAACATAGTACTGGCAAAGGGGTAGACATATAGGTAGGTTGATAGAGTAGAAATGAGAGTCCAGAAATACACTCATGTATCTAGTTAAATGACTTTCGACAAGGATGCTAAAACCATTCAATAGTGAAAGAATAGTTTTTTTTCAATAAATGATGCTGGGAAAACTGGATATCCACATGCAAAAGAATAAAGTTGGACCCCACCTCACATAATATATAAAACTAACTCAAAATGGATCAGAGGCCTAAAACTTAGAAGAAAACATAAGTGGCCATGGGAAGTGACTGCTCAAAGGGCATGAGATTTCCATTTTGGATGATGAAAAAGTCTGGAACCAGATAATGGTGATGACTGCATAACACTGTGAACATTCAAAATGTCACTGAATGGCTAAGTTATGTTAAATGAATTTTACCGCAACAAAAAAAATTACTTGCATTTCTATACACTTATAATATGAATATGAAATTAAGAAAATTTCATTTAAAATAGCATCAAAAAAATAAAATATTTAGGAATGCATTTTTAAAAATACAAAACTTACACTTGAAAAGTACAAAATATTGTTGAAAGAAATTAAAAAAGATTTGAGTAAGTGAAAAGAAATCCACGTTCATGGACCAAAATATTTAATATTGGTAAGATGGCAATACCCCAAATTAATTTTTGGAGTCAATGCAATCTCGATCAGAACCCTGACTGGCTTCTTCATAGAAATGGACAAACTGATCCTAAAATTCAAATGGAAACAGGAGGATTCCAAATAGTCAAAGCAATCTTGAAAAAGAAGAAGTTGGAGGAATTTCACTTCCTGATTTCAAAAGCTATTACAAAGCAACAGTAATCAAGGCAGAATTAAACAGTTATCAACAAATTCAGCAATTCTATTCCTATGTATATACACAAGAGAAATGAAAACATATATCCATACAAAAACTTGTACAGTAGTATATATATCATATCTAATAATAGACAAACATGGTAATTAACCCTACCTCCGACACACTTCCCATTGGCTAATCAGGGCGATGTGCAAATTAACTGCCAACCAAGATGGCAGGCGGCAGCAACGCAGCTGAAGCGAACAGGAGGCTTGCTTGCTCCAGTGATGGAGGAAGCCAAGGTTCCCTCCTGCTGCTGCCAGCCTCTGAGCTGCAGTCTAAGCAACTATGCTGCAACTATAAAACCTAAACAAACCCCAGAAACCTGCTTTCAGCCAGCTTCGGCCTCAGAGCTTAGAGCGGCGGTGATGGCAACAGAGGTTCAATTATAGAAGCCAAACAAACCTAGAAACCTGCTTTCATGCCCATCAGTAGATGAATGGATTAGAAAACTGTGGTACA